GAAAAGAATATTCGCGATGTCATTGGCTGCAATACCTCCAACTTTCTTTGAAGGTTGCGCAGCGCCAAGCTTTCGCAAGAGAGACCAGCTTTTCCTGCTTGAGTGTGTGTAATCCATTTCTTCCATAGCAGCTATCCATCTATTTCTTCTTTCTTCGTCTAGTAGTNCATAGCAGCTATCCATCTATTTCTTTTTTCTTCGTCTAGTAGTGCCATTAACCGGTTTGTTGTTACCTCATTCCCAGATTGATCGTATTCATGTAATAATAAGTCGCACTCTTTGATCCAGCATGGTATGTAGTTTTGTCTATGTCCTCTAGGTATCGCTAGGGCAGCTGCTTTTTTTATTAGTTTCCTGAATCTTGAGTAGTTTTCTGGAGTAGGAGGAATTCGGTTTATATTCTCATCCATGTATTTGGTGTAAACCTCCCATCTCGCTTTTCGTAGGTTCCATCTGGGCATTTCAGGTTTATTGATCCTTGGAAAATTGACACCTATGTCTATAATCACTGGTTTATGTTGGCTTTTGGGGAATTTAGGTAGGATTTGTCGTGAGACTCTTAGAGGTTGGTCTTCCTTGTCTCTAGATACAAAACAAAGGTCAGGAGAGGTAGTTGTCCCCCATCGACCTGATTCGAAAGTACCACCCTGCTTAGCGTCATAAACCAGGTGTAGGCGGTGGAGCGCTGCCCATCGAGAGAGTGTCGCACCATCCTCGTTCTCACTTAGGTAACCCCACTCAGTGCTATGTGAGTTGAAGTCACCGATATAAATTGTAGTGTTTTGGTTGACTGAGAGTACTGAGTTGGACCACCTTTCTGGTGGAGGTTGTAAACATTGTATATTATAAGGTTTCCCACATATATACCAATCGAGTGTTCGTTTCCGGCGACAGGGTTTATTTGTTGTTCTTTAAAGTTCAGGTTTACATATGTTGCCAGTCCATGTTTGGCATGACCTTTGTAGTCAACCATATTGAAGCCAGGTACCCCCAGGAGTCTGGTCTTGTCACTCGGTACGTGGATCTCTTGAATTGTCAGTACATCTGCGTCTTTAAACATATTGCCAAAAATATCAGCCTTTGCCCTTGTCAAGCCTTCCACATTTAGGTGCACTAATCTTATTGTTCTTTGCGATTCTTTATTGTTTTTGTGTTTTTCGATGGTTGCATCAGGTTTTAAAATTTTGTTTTTTCTGTTTTTTGTTTTTGTAATTTTTTTGTAAGGAATTTTGTTATTTTTACTCTTTACGTAATTGCTATGCATGTCAGGCTAGCCCTGAAAAGGGCTGTTTGGGCCAATAGATCCAGGAGGTCCTAAAACGTTTGGATGTCGGTTTGATGTCGCTTCGTTTCGTGCCATTTTCACATATACTCATAGAACTATGTTCTTGGTTGTATCGCGTAACATTAGCACTACTCACAGGGGGGACCACGGGAAGGTACGACATCACCCCCCCCCGGATTTCACTCTGGGATCCGGCTAACGGGGGAGGCCACACCACGTTGTGAATCAGCTCTTGATTAATTTCGGGCTAATTCACAACGTGGTGATGTGAGTTTTAAAGACGGCGTGGGCCGCCTTGAAGTAATACCTAACGGTAGTTCCAGGGCGGTCCACAACCAAGCCGATCGGAGGAAAAAAAAAAAAAAGACTTTCTATCATTAAGTCTAGATAATCGAAAAATAAAAGTAAATAAATTAAAACTGTTTATTTGATTAAAAAATTATCATTTTGTTGATCAGTGCAAGTTAAGAAATGTATGAAGTATCAGGGGGAGCACAATTCGCTCTTGCACCAGTTAGGTGAGAATGAGAACACGAGTAGCAATGCACAGATCAATATGCATACTGTAAACATAGGTAAAAAACAAACATTATTAGCAACAGCGATAGTGAGAGTTATGAACACTACGGGAAACTATATAGATGGACGTGCATTACTTGATAGTGGTTCTCAGAACAATCGATGTATTAATTGGAGCCGGTACATATTGGGACTCAATGTGTGTTGGTAAATTTAAAACATATCAAGATGGACCGTAAAAAACTTGTTTAGGTTGGGTAGTTGTCGGGGAAGTTCCGGATAAGTGTGAGAGCAATTAGGTTACCTGTATGTTGATTATGGAAAGTAAAGAAAGATTATTCGAAAACAAAATTGAGGCTTTTTGGGAGATTGAAGAGCTTGACACAAAAGAAGAAACATTGTGCATGGAGCATTTTAATAAAAATACTACGCGTAATAATAATGGTAGATTCATTGAAACATTACCGTTTAAAGATAATGGTTAATTAGGTTATTCATACTACTCCACTTTACGGCAATTTTTATCATTGGAAAACCGATTAATTAAAGATAATAGCTTATATGATAAGTATAAATTATTTATGGGAGAGTATGAAGAGCTCGGGTACATGAAAGTATAGGTAGCGTTAATAAAGGTAAAGACGAAATCGAGCCAAATATTATTATTTGCCGCATTCATATGTACTAAATGATAATAGTCACAGCACTCGTTTTCATGTTGTATTCAACGGTACGTCAAAGACTAGTAATGGCTTATCGCTGAATTGTATTTTAATGAACGGTCCAAAAATACCTACTTGATCTACTAAATATTGTTGTACGTTTCCGTACACAAAAATATGCATTTTCAGCTGATATTTTAAAAATGTATAGACAAGTATTATTACATGTGGATGATCAGAATTATCAACGTATATTATGGCGTTCAAATCAATCAGATGAAATAAATATTTATAAATTGTGTACTGTGACATATGGACTCGTACCATCCGGTTTTTTAGCTATTAGTTGTATTAACCGCATATCTGAAGAGGTCAATGATTCACAGTTAAAAGAAGTATTAAAAAATGATTTTTGTGTAGACGATTGTTTAACAGGAGCAAATAGTTTGGGTGAGGCTTTATGTTTACATGATAAATTGATTGAATGTTTGAAAAAATACGGATTTGAACTATCTAAATGGGCTTCAAATAACGTTAGGTTATTACCCAATCAGAAGGATAATGAAGATATGATTACGGCAATTTTTAAAGAAAATATTAAAACATTAGGGTTGTACTGGCAGCTAACATGTCCTTGTTTTTGCGTTCCGAAATACTAACAAAATAAGGTACGAATTAAACTATTACATAAGAAAATACTTATGTATAGTAGAATATGTACGAGTAGACCGGTAATATACGGTCAGTACAAAATAATAATGTAGCCCAGCAGGGTAGCTTGGTTAATACTTATAGTTATTTCACACCATAACTATTACAATACTTGTCTTGTATTTTTATAAAAATTTTATAGGACTCAATATTTGAGAAATTCTAACAATGATGACGTTAAAGTTTTATTTTATAAAATGAATAAATTCCGATTTTTTATTCAAAAGATAAAAATTAAAGTCAAGATCTCAACGTGGTTTTGTTTATAGCTTTCAGATAAAGCTTAGAAGTTATTAATATTACTTGATGTGTTTATTTAAAATTGTTTGTGCCTGTCACCACTCTTTCTCAGCTCTTAGGTGTTTTCCTTTCATTAGGTATATATTTTTTTGAAAATTTATACTTTACCTGCCCACAGATGGGATTAAATATAGCAACTTTTGCATGAAAAGTTAAAATGTTCTGGAAATATTGCTTTCAATAAAGATAAATTAAATAAAAGTTTATATAATATGTTCGGTTTATCATGATTTTTTATGATACGGGCAACATTGGTGGCAATTATCTTTCAGACTGTTGTTCAGTTTGCTCGGTACCGTACTGTTGTACACTTACCGTCCGCAAATAGTTTGTATAATCTTAATGGAGCTTAACTTATAATCGAATTATGATACATCTATTTTGTAATTTTATACAGTCCAAATCGAAGTCTAATACAATATCTATCTAATAAATATAATAAAAGGAAGAGAGCTACTATATCCAAAAAAATGTTTTAGCTAAATTACAATTTCAATTTCTACTGAAATTACAATTAACAAATAAAGGTCAGTATAATCGTAAATTGTTGCCTTTTTTATGATTCGTTTGTAATATGAAATCATAAATTATAAATATAAATCACATTAAAAATAATTTATTTGTTTAATAGAAGACATAGAACTTTATTTGAGAACTGCAATATTTTTTTTTTTAATGTGAATTCATGCTGTATTTGGCATAGTTCAGAAATCCTTATAAAAGTAAAGTACAATCTCACATCGAAATGTTTTTTTTTATTACAGAGTGATCGGTTTATAATAAACCCGCCGACTGCTATCAAAATAAATACAATATTGAAAAAACAATTTTGATTTCTTTTAGATAATTATAATTAGTGATTTATCAGCCAGTAATTACTTACTCTCCCTTAAAACTTAATGATGTGTTAATTTTTTTTCTTTATTTATCAACATACATATTTAATTAAATCATAAAATAGTAAATAATCTAATTAAGAAAATGACTGGATGATAACAACTTTTGGACTAGTATTGTAGAAGTTATTATCAATGTAAAGTTTTGACTGGAGGTGAGGAGTGTTTGCTGCTATTTTTATCGTGATAACTAGTGAACTAGTCATATTCCGGCCGTACTCATCGTTCCGTTTAGGTATAAAAATGAGAATAACATCCAAAGTAGTGGTCTAAAAGTTGTTATCGACCAATTATTTTTTTTAAAAAGATAATTTTCTATTTTATTAGTTAATTAAATTAATGATTGTCACCATTTAAAAAAATAAAGTTGACACATCTATACGTTATAAGGGATGATTTTAAAAGTAATAAATAGCTAACTTAATCAAGAAATATATGTAACTAAAAACCCCACATTTTCTTTTTAATATTGTATTTATTTTGAGAGTAATCAAATGATTTATGATAAATCTATCACCCTTTATTGATGTCACTGTGTCCCCATCGACTCTACTGGACCCTTTTTAGACTTTGGTATATTCGCTATTGCACAGATGTTTTCTTATTAAAAAAAAATCTTTAGTTTTAAGTGATTAACAAATATATTTTAAAATGTGTTTAATAATATTTAGTTTTGTATATTGTTTATTTGAATTTATAAATTTTTTGAAAAAAAAAAATTATATTAAAATTGAGAATATAATGCTTCGACTCTTGAGCAGGAGAGTAATAAAAAATATTGATTATCTTCCTCAAAATAAATGTCACCATTAATAAGTTTTAAATTTAGCGTTTTTAAATTAAATTTTGCCGGATCGAAAATTCGCTCCCAAAAAAATCGACCACATTTGGGTAGAAATTCTTCGCAATCTTTAACAATTTTGACTTTTGCTACACTTAAAAAATGTTCGTTATAACATACTTTTTCGACTGTTACTTTGATAAAATAATCCATGGCTTTTTTTTTGTCCTCTACTAATAGAAGGATGCATGACAAATCATCCAATGTACCGTCTAGAAGTACTTTTGAAATTTCATGTATCACAGAAAATATTAAAATTATTCAAAAATTATTACAGCATTTTATTTGTTATTATGTATTGAACAATATAATAATCTTATAACAATTGAATAATACGTTTTTTGAAATGTGCAATAATATAGTATAAAACAAAAAATGTATACAAATAGTGTAATGTGATTTTTTAAGAAATTTATGAAAAATTGGCCTTAAAAATTTCTTAAAAAAAGATCCTCTATTTCAAAAATAGCTTCCACTTTAAAAGAAATACTAAAATAGCCCTGCTCCCATTATTATCTTCTAGATCTGCACTAGATCTTAATTTCTATAAACGATAAAATTTAATAATGTAAATAATTTTCTTTTAGCTTTAACAGTTCATTGAGGACCATTGTGACTCCCTACAAAGAGGAATCGTTAATAAATAAATAATTATTATTTTATAATATATTCAGAGGCGATATTAGAATTTATTTTAAAAAGGAAATACTGATTTCATTTAGCATTTTTCTTATGACTTTTTTTTTAGTCAACACATTTTTAATGAAAATTGACAATGAAACAACTACGTGACGTTAAAAATGTGTGTATAAAAAATCCTTCTTTTTATTTTTACTCTTCACTTAAAATTTCAAAAAAAAATATAATACACTTCCGATTTGGTACAAAAATGCAGATTCAGTATTTTAGGTAAGACTCACCCCCATTTATTACCCCTCTATAATGATGTATTTGAATTTATAACAACTATTTAGAAATTTAGGTTTTTTTATACCCTTTATTACATTATAATGCTAATATCATTATGGTTAACTCTTTTTAATTGTCATACCTTTATAAATATCATGATTCCTCAAAGTTGTATCAAAATCCATACATCGAAAGAATTGAATTTTGGCTTCAAATATGAAAAATTTGCTTTCATTGACTGTATATGCAAAAGATATCTAGATAAAATATTTTATCTAAATAAAAGTTTTACTAAGAATTAAACAAGAAAAATCTAAACTGTTGTTATATTTAGGTAGGAGAAGGGAAAAATTCCAAAAAAAAATGTGAAACAAATATACTCGTACATTTTCTTAAATCTTGTAACCTAATATTTATCTAATTTTTAACTTTAATATATATTATAATTTTGAGTATACTTAAATATTAAGTTTAGACATTATTGCAATAAATTCATTGTTATAGTGACATTTTTTACCCGTTGTAAAAATTTAATGCATAGTGCTACGCTTAGGCGTAATTCAACTTTAAATAATTTAGTTATAACAAGTTAAGTATAAAAATTATGGATGTTTTTATTATACATGGCACTAAAGCCGTCAGTTTTTTTTTTATGCATAGGTAGGATTGCAAAATGTTTTAAGCATAAAAAATTTTTTTTTAGTAATATTTTAAGTTTTTCATTATATGATAAAATTTTTAATTATGGTTATATAATTTTATTATAATCTTTTTATTCGAAAGATTATAATATAATGTGATTTTATATAATAAGGTGCATTGTAATGCTTGTAAAATCTTTTTATGTTACATATCAGTCAAAACAGGAATTTAAAATTTAAAAGATATAAAAAGAAACCACATTTATTTACTACAAACTTTTAACAAAAAATAACCAATAAACAATTAAGTTACACGACCCAAGTAGTAGCGGTTAGTATAAAGTACGCCTCTTCTGCCTTTATGATTATATCTTTACTTTAGTTTAGTGTTCGCAATAATTACTGCTTTCTAGAATGACATTGATTGTACGCTATACCACTAGATAAGTTTATCTATTATTCATTTCATATCCTTCTGAATTTAATATATTGATCTTTCAACGGTGTTTGTAACTGTATTAATGTACTGTTATCAACCGTGATCAAAGATTTATATTTTAAATTTCCATTTATAAAGTTAGTTAATCTTATATCGTGATCATAACCTTCGTGTAATCAATCGTGATCAAGATAACTAGCTTCTCCTCTTATCCCTTTAATCTTTGCTACTGTGCTCGTAACAAGACGTTACCAACTGTGATCCAAAGAGTTATACTTAACTCTTTATTTAATATAGTTACTTCCTAAAGTAATACTGATATGATAGGTAATAAATATTCATATATTTGATATTTTTGTTTTCTTTTTAAATAAAACGAAATAAGCTAATTATTTGAGGAAAATGTGCTGTGCTTACATATTATTGGCAATTTCCAGTTAAGTAATTTAAACCTAGATACAGTATGTAAGTAAAAACGTTTCAATTACTACCTTTATCAGTTATAAGGGATGAACATAAAAAGTATTTAAGCACTCACCTACGCGGCATTCGTCATAGAATTTAGATTAGTAAATATTTTTAATATTTGATATATTAAAATATGTAACAATATGTTATGTTAATATTTAAAAAAATACAGTTAGTACTTTTATAATGGATAAGAGGAGTTTGATCTTAAATATATTTAACTACATAAAAGTCAAGAAATAAATAATACTAAACAAAATCAAAATTATAAGATTAGGAGACATTTAGTGGTGAATGTCAAATCATTTACTTTGTATATATGCTACTTTGTTATAATATATTTAAGAAACATATAATACGAAATAATATACAGAGTAATTTTTTTATTATGAACCACATATTCAATTAAAAAATAAAAATAAAATTGATAATTTTTATTAATTAAATTGTTCATGATAAAAAAATCACTCTATAAAATATATTAAAATACTAATGAGATATATCATAATACTATTACTAAGGTATAATCTAAAAATAATAATCCGAATAATTTAAAAATAACAGAATCCACAGTTTTATATTTCCAAGAATTGAAAATTTTTCAATGCCAATTTCTAATAATTATTTAAACAAATATTACATATTACTACAAAATTCATTATTAAATTCTGTTAATAATTTAGGAACAAAAAATTTTCCTCGTAAATGGGGATATAAATACTTCTACGGCCCCTCTGCTAGTCGTATAAGGCTACACGTCTAGTCGACCGCTGGTAAAAAATGTTGTTAAAAACTATGAAAATTCTTAAACAGAACTTAAGTCCCGTATCGGATATACGCTTAGAAAACAGGTCAAGTGGAAGTAGTTTAGGATAAGGATGGCCGATCCCAAGTAGTTGAGATGAAGACGAGAAAAAAAGGTGAAGAAAATTTAGAGATAAAATATAATTATTGTGAAACATTGAATATTATAAACATTATTATAATGAGTTTCTATAATCATATTATTTGAATCAATTGCATAATAATAGAATTTACAAAGATTGATTATGATCCATTGAATACAATTATTTGATTGCTTTCGAGTAAATTGAATACCCATCAGTTTTCTTTTTAGGACTCGAACTGTCTAGAATATCTCCAATAAAATACGAAATAACAAAATACACTCGTGTTAAATGTCAAAAATGTAGTTTAAGAAAATTAAAAAAACACGCTTTTAAAGCACATCGATTATCAAAGTTAAAAAAATTTTTTTAAATAATTATGAACAAAAAATACTAGTATTATTGTAATAAAAGCGTCGGGCGCTCAATATACGATAAATATGGCACAAAGGACCCACGCTTTTATCACAATAATACTAGTTTTTTTTTTGTTCATAATTATTTTAAACAATTTTTTTAACTTTTTAGTTCGATGTGCTTTAAAAGCGTGTTTTTTTAATTTTTTTAAACTATATTTATTTTTTACTTTTTAGTTTCATGTTATGATAGTAGTTACTATCAATATCTTGGTTGTTACGGATAACGGGAAATCAGAGTTCGATTCCGGAGAGGGAGTCAGAGAAACGGCTACCACATCCAAGGACTGCAACAGGCGCGCAAATTACTCACTCCCGGAATGTGGAGGTAGTGACAAAAAATGACAGTACGGAAATCATCCCTCGTAATCGGAATGAATACTTTATAACTCTTAATTAGAATAAAGCGTGTTAATATATAAATTTTATTAGTAATTAGAATATATATATGTACAAGTAAAGCGACTTAAGTACGTAAACGTATCATGCACTAGCCGTGTTTTGTGGGCGGGCGGGTGGGTCGGACTAACGTTATACCTGAGGTATAAACGGCGGTAGGAATATATACGTAGGCCGTATGGCACGCGAATGGTATTGTCAGTCAAAATAAAAATTTGTTTATACATATATATAATATTGATGACAAGCACGCGTGTACGGGTACGATAACCAAAAATAAATGTATATAGGAATAGTGTTGCCGTCGTGTGGTGAGCGAGGCGTGGGGTGAGGTAAATGAGTTATGACAGTCTAGTCTCAAGGCCATAGACGACGGAATATGCGAAAACGCGTGACGCGTGGAGAGTTACAAACATATATACATACAGGTGAAACTAATATAAGTGTGTTAAAAAAATTAAAGATCGTGCATGGAAAAATTATAATTTTAAAATAATTATGTTTGAAATTCTGTAAATAATGATCAATGGAAAATGTAAAATTATCAAAAAAAAAAAAAATATGGAATGTATCGTGATTTCTCAAAATATTATGTATGTAATACTTTGTTACGTAGTTGACCCCATTTTTAATCAATTAATACAGTTTAAGTGAAAGCTTACACTCCTAAAAGTTTAACTTGGAAGAGTGCTCCTGAAATTATGTAATTGGATTTAAGTAATAGATATTATAACTTACTAAGGTTATGAAGAAAATTGCTCTATTCATTTTTAAATATTAAAAAGATAGAATCATATAATGTGTAAAATTAATTATGTGTTATAGCAATATTTAACTATTCTTAACTAAAATTAATTAAGATTTTTCAGATAAATTACTTTGAAAAAAAAAATTATATCAGAGCTTCTAAACAAACGCATTTATTCCCAACGTGTAATTACTTTATTATTTAAAGAGTTGTGTAGTCTGGTGTATTAAAAAAATATTATACAATAATATAATAAATTATAAGAAAAAATTACTTAGCAAACTTCTCGTACAATGTATTATACAAAGTGATTAGTTTAAAGCTAGCTACTTTATTTAAAAATAATGTACCTACGTGTCAGAAAATCATTTGTATAAGCTAGCTAAATATGTATGTTAACATTAAAAAAAAAAAGTTGACATCTTTTTAATGTATGAGGAATGAATTAAAAAAGTAATTAATAGCTGATAAATTATTAAATATATATAACTGAAATAGACCAAAAATATTATTCTTAACATAATTTATTATTTTAGAGGAATCGGTTTGCTAGTGATAAAAGAATCACTCTGTATATGGTAATATTTAAAATTTAATAACTAAATTGTTTCATCAATTCTTACCTACTTAATTATATTTACAGTTATATATTTATTACAATAAAATAAATATACAAATTAATTTATTACATTATATTTTTATCAATGATGTCACGAAATATTTATTGGCTCTATTTGAGTGCGTTTCTTACACAAAATTGATAGAAAATATAGGATAATAAATAATGACAAATTTTCTGTTCTACAATATTTTTAGGTAAATTTTATATGGAATTGCTACGCAATTTTAAAATCTAAACATTTATTTTTTTTTAATTTCTATAATATAATTTGGTAATGAGTTATGTAAATTTTGAAGCTATTCCTTGAACAAGCTTTAACTTAAAATAATTTAGAATAATGTCAGTATTCTGTTACAATGCAAAATATTACAAAATTTACCCCTTTTTCGAAAATAATATAATTTTTGACTTTATGAACTCCTAGAAATCGAGATTACGGATAATGTAGGGTTTTTAAGAAGGTGGAATTTTAGAACTTAAAAAAAATTGAAAAGAAAAAAATATGATTTGATTTTTAAGCCCCTCTTATATACATTTTATAATATGTCCAGAAAATGATTATAGTATGTAAAATATTTTAATAAATAAAAATGATAATGTATTTCATTTTCAGTAGCTTGTTATGGAATTTTAGTTATAAAATGAAAAACCATTTTAAAAACAATTTTGAATGCGTATTAATTTTAACACATTAACTTAATTTAAACTAAAAATTGCAAAAATATGTAAATATAATGCTGTTGTAATAGAACATCTCATAAATTTATTATAAATATATGTTTGGAATATGCACGTGCACATAAATCTATACACGTTTAAAATGCTATATTTTACTTTGACATTGTTGGTGTTCTTACTTTATTTTTTGTAACTCATCAAATATATTATTTTAGGTCCTTTAATAGATTTTTATGAAATCACAAAAGTAGAAAAATTTTTTATAATGTTGTACAGTTATAATGTTAAGTTAAAAAAATAAAATTAGGCCATAAATCTAGAGATAATCAAAATTCATTTTTATGTAAAAAAAAGATTTTTTGTAGTCTGTATTACTATAACTTATTTAGGTATTAGATTAAAAGTATCGCTTCTTGTGAATATTTACGCTAAATATAATGAAATTTAAACATAACTCATGTAATTTCTAATATATTAAGACTTTTTTATTATCACCAATTTATTTTCAAAATAAATTCTTGTATACATCATATAAAGAGGGGAACAATCCCTACTGCTCCCAACTTTTTATACAATTAGAATTTTACCATAAATTTTTAAAAATAATTTATGCAAGATTTTCCAACAAAAAAAATTTATTGAGATACAAAAATTTTAATACAGCATATGGGTATGCAATAAAATATTTGTAAATTAATCGTTACTTATCCTAAAATCGTTAATGACCCATTACATTTTTTTGTAAAAAGAGCTATAAATAAAATAATGTAAAAAAATTAAAAAAGAAAGCTTTTATAAAATCACAATTACGTAAAAAGTCGAAAAGAACTTAAAACGTATAGATTCATTTTTAAATTCATTTTTCTTCAACACATACTCATGTCTATAATTAAAAAGATTGTAATTATAGTATAAAAGAATGCGATGTAAAACGTTATAATCATTTAGTAAAGTTATACACTTATGCATATATGCACTTTTACAGAGGTTCAGTATATAAGGAAATAGAAGTTGATGTTGTTTTTTGAATAAACCAACAATTCCTTTTAAAAATTAAACAATAACTACAGATTCATATCTGTACATTTTTACAGTAACTCAATTTTTCTAACCTATTGCGACGTAGAATTTTAAATCGTTTCATCTTAATATGTATTAGTGTACAACATTTACATTCAATAGTATTTTATAGAATTCTCTTAAAAAAAAAAAAAAAATTTTTCTGGTTTTAAAAGTTATAATTTATTTACGGTAAATTAATAAGTTCCCTGTACATTTTTTATTTAAAGTTTTTATTGTTGACAGCTCAAAACTTTTTCTTCTCGTGAGTTAAATATATCACCTAGATCATCTACAAAATAATTCATAGGTCGAAAATAGAATTCATGAATACCCAATAAATCCTGCAAAAAAAGCTTGACACATTTATTTATTTGCATTTTACTACTGTTAAGGTAACGGTCTTCAAACTTTATTTGCGATTGATCAATTTTAAATATATTATAAAATATTCCATTTTGTACATAATTTTTGGCTTGTTCTTTGTTTTCTGATTTTAATATTAAACATATATATTTTGACATATCTTGAATCAAATCTAAATTCAGGCAATAATAATATTAATCAAAAATATTGAATACAAAAAAAAACTCGTATTAATTTATCTAAATTAATATCAAAAAAATACAATGTTTAAAAATAACTTTAAGATAGGTGTTTATACAAATGTACATTTTCCCATTACCGTGCACCAATCGTTATCAGCTGAGCTACCATTACACAGCACACACAATAAAATTTACTATAGCTAAGATTGATCTAATTAAATATATTTCTTAAAATATTAATTTCGAAATCACGATATGTGTATATATATATATATATAATAACAATATTAATATCGTATTGAATTATCGGTATCGTTGCACATCTCTAGTAAATACTATGCCATGCTAAATTTTTTACTTCAATATATTTAATTTATGTGTTATAATCTCTGGTTACGTCATTGTTAGTGAAATTTTTAAAAAATATTGAGGTTTACTGGAATTGGTTATTCGTTTGGAACCTAATAAAATATTATTATTAATATTAGTTTACCGTCATATACATCGTTTTTTCGTAAATATGAATTTTTGTTCAAACATTTACTTAGCTTTTTACGTTTATCAAATAATGTATTAATATTCATTTCCTCTTTTGTTAGATCAACCTAAATTACAACATTATTATAAAATATGTATGAATCAGGTTTCTCAAAGAGTTATTTCCAGTGCTCGAATTGGGGGGGGGGGGCGCAGGGGGACGTAGCT